TCAAACAACTTAACAGTACAAAAACAAGTAACCTAATTAAAAAATAGGCAAAGGAAATAAATAGGCATTTCTCAAAGGAAGATATACAAACAGTCAAAAGACACATGAAAAAATGCTCAACATCACTCAGCATTGGGGAAATGCAAATCAAAACCACAGTGAAATACCATCTCATGCCAGTTAGACTGGCCATTATCAAAAAGACAAAGAATAACATGGTGGTGAGGATGTGGAGAATGGGGAACCCTCCTACACTGTTGGTGGGTCTATAAATTACTGCAGCTATTATGGAAAACAGTATGGAAGTTCCTCAAACAAGTACAGACAAAACTGCCATATGATCCAACAAATCCACTTCTGGTGTACACCCAAAGAAATGGAAATCATCATGTCAAAAGGTATCTGCACTCCTGTGTTTACCACAGCTCTATTCACAATAACCAAGAGTTGGAACCAATCTAAAAGTCCATCAACAGATGACTGGATAAGGAAAATGTGGTATATCTACACAATGGAATACTACTCTGCTGTAAAAAATGGAATACTGTCACTCGTAGCAACATGGATGAACTTAGTGAAAATATTTATGTTAAATGAAAGAAGCCAGGCACAGAAAGAATACCGCATGTCATTACTCATAAGTGGAAGCTAATGCCACCACCACCCCAGTGCCCTGCCGGTGTCCTCAGGCATAGAGCTGGGGGAAGTCGAACCCAGCCACACTTGGGTAAAGAGCACACCAACAGCACCATTTCCACATGGATAGCCCACCATAGCCACAATTGTCATGTCTGCTGCAAAAGTGGCTAGTCTCTATAGCAGCAGTCACAGCTACTATGCAGATGGCACACCAGACTGCATTGACACAAGGAGAGGCACCAGCAGAAACCAAATAAAAGAAAAAAAAAAGAGAGAGAGAGATCCTCTCTCTCTGCAAAGCACACTCTAGAGTAATAGAAGCAGCATCTGATTTATGATAGTAGGGGAGGACTTGATCACACCTGTCTCAGTACTGGACAGAGCATCTAGGCAACAAACTAACAGAGGAACAGTTAATCTATAAGACAGGGAGAACAAATCTATGGTTATTAAAGGGGGGAGGAGGATTGGATAAGGTGCATAAAGAATAAGTATGATTTGTAACAATACGCCAATAAAAAATAAATTTTAAAAATGAAACAAAAAATAAGTGGGAGCTAAAAAAAAATTAAAGAAAGAAAGATACAACAATCACAATAATTCTTTGATCTTTCAAAAAGAATGGACCTGAGGTTACTGGGGAGAGGGAGAGGAGGTTAGCAAGAAATTGGTCACAAAAATGATTACCCTGTGTAATGATAAATACAGTAATTATCCTGGGGGGGGGGGAGGAGCAAATGCCATAAGTTGGTAAAATTATACTGAGTCTATGTCCAGGAAATATTTGGGTGGTTTATGTTACACATAAAACCATAACAGTTAAGGTTCTTTAAATGCACCCCCTGCCAAAAAGAAAAAAAAATAGTTTAAATTTTTTAAAAAAGCATAAACAGTGGGCATACATTTCACAGAATTCATTTATTTTCACTCATAATGAAAGCTAGATCTGAAGTGCTGGCAGCTGAGTTGTCTTTCTTGTTGAATCAAGGGAAACATACTTGTTTGCTAACATACAAAACTTATTTTCCTTGGACCTAAGTAACATTTGTTTGGCTCCTATAAAAGATACATAAAAATATGGCAAATGCTGTTAACCATAGGTCTGTAAATTATACAGAAACTTACTCAAAATAAGCATTTTTAATTAACATTCCTCTATGAAAGCTAACGGCAAAATAAAATTAGACTTTTTAAAATTAGGATTTGATTTAAGTAAAAATTATAATGCCCTTTGTACAGTCCTGACTTATAGTAATCAAATATCTAGTAACTGAAATCTTTTAGTACGGTGAAGGTAATTTTGTTACTACAGTAAAAATCAGCAATGTTACTTTCAGTTGAGCTTACTAATAGAGACAGTTTGAAGAACCTAGGAATTACTAACAACCAAATGTAATATGTAAACCTTGATTAAACCACAATTCAGATAAGAGAGAGCTATGAAAAATAGTTTGGAAACAATGGGAAATCTTTAATATGGACTGGATATTAGGTAATGGAGAATATTTGAGTTTTCTTAAATATAATAGACTTGTGGCCATATAGAAGAATATTCTTTTTTTTTTTTCCTTTTTGTCATTTTTACTGACCAGTAGCAGGATCGCAACCCTGGGTGTCGCGCCCGTACCAGGGACCAGCAACGGGATCGCAACCCTCGGTGTTGCGCCTGCACCGCGCTCAGCCAGTGAGCGGGAACCGGTCTCCACATGGGATCCGAACCCTCGGCGGGAGCGCCACCACACTCCCAAGCGGCGCACTCTCCAGTGCGCCACCGGGCCAGCCCTAGAAGAATATTCTTACTCATAAGAGATGCATGCTAAGCATTTAGGCATGAGGTATCATGGTATTAGCAATTTACCTTAAAATGGTTAAGTAAAAACATAGGTGGGAGAATAGATACATAGGTAAATAAAGCAATAAAGCCAAAACAGGAAATTTTAATAATTCAATCAGATGGTGCACATCTGGGTATTTGTTGCCACTATTCTTTTAACTTTTAATTATTAAATATTTTCAACACATGGAAAATGTTGGAAAAAGTGTGTTTACAATGAGTAACCAGTAGCTGTCTCAGGCACACTTTTCACTGATACTGGATCTGTCAATTCATGGTTCAGTTGTTTGACAAGTGTTTGAAGTGCCAATAAGGTCTAGTAGATTTAAGTTGGATTTTTTATGCTTTAGATGCCAGACACCCTGGCATTGGAGTTGACATTCTGTCATGAAAATGCAGGCGCCTACCTTACACCCTGCTATTTTCTAGCAGATGGGGAAGCTAGGCCTATTGCTGGTGCCACCAAAATACTTCTCAAAATATAAAAGGATAAAAAAATTTTAAGTAAGTTTTCAGATCCATCAGGTTTCTTAGACACATATTTGCTGAGGTCTTAGAGTTTAATACACAGCAAGATAATTTTTGACCTCGGAAATGTTAAAGATATTGATGACGGCCATTTCAGTTATATAAAAACCTCAGTCTGGCCCTGGTGCCTGTGTTTTAAGGAGGACTTCACCCTGACAAGTCACCTAAAATGAGTCACCTCCAACTTATAAGATGACTCAAGTGCAACAGCTTACAGCAAGAATTTTTTTTTTAACTGGTATTTTGGTTTAGCCATTAAGCCTCATCTAGTTAAATGGGAAAAGTATGATGAACACGATGATTTTGTTTTTAACAGAACTGATGCAAAACAGGGATGATATAGTCACATGCCTCTCGCGGCTATCCCTATAACAAAGGAACCACAACTACAGTTTTACCTACCAAAAGATTTTTACACACTCTGATTTTCACATTGGTGACAGGAAACAGCCTTTAATGAGGCACTCCTAGCATAAACACTGTAGCAGGATTATCCAACCTGAGTCAGACTGTCATAAAAAGGACCAAAGGATGTAAAGAGAGCACTAACATATGAGCCAAAGTCCCACATAGTTTTTAACTGAATGCTTTCATAGCCGAAATAACTGTAAGGCAAGGCTCTCCTTGTGCCCAAAGGTCCCTGCAATTCTTCCCTCGGAGCCTCACCCTCCTTCATGGCAGTGACCCATCTGCTCATCTGTCTCATCAAACAACTGTGCTCTGTGCTGTTGGGTCATTTGCCATGAGTGTTTCCCAACACCTAGTACAATGCATGTGCATGTTGATATCTCACCTATTACCTGAACTAATTATTCAAGGAATCTGAATAGAGTGTTATCGACTCATTACAATTCTATATATATATATATACGTATATATATATACGTATATATATGTATATACATATATATATATACATATATATACGTATATATATATATACGTATATATATATATGTGTGTGTGTGTGTGTGTGTATATATATATATATCTCTGAACTTTCTAGGCTCTATAATCTCATCTCTCTATAATGTATGTGGCTGAACTCAGGCAAAACAATTTAAAGACCAGGAGAGATGTAGAGGACAGTGATCATTTTCATCCTGGCCTAAAATTTCTATCTTCCAATCATGGTAATTAACATTTATCATATCCTTACAATGTGCCAGAGACTGATGCTAAATGCATTATTGGTACAGACTCATTTAATTATCAGAAAAACCCATGAAGCAACTACTATTATTTAGATGGTTTTATACACATACACATACACACACACACACACACACACACACATGCATACACACACACACACTACATATATTCTTCTGAGCTCTGCAAATTCCCCATCTGGATCTTATAAATGAAGATTTGGCAGAACTACAGTCAGTCCTGGCACACAGCTGTCCTCAAAGGTCCTTAAGCATTCAAATGGTTGTCATATTGATTCCAGGATATAAAAGGCTAAAAATGTATAAAACAAAGGATTGTAACTTCAAAATATTATCAAGTTTTACTTAGCATTCACTAATCTTTAGGGAAAAGAGGCAGCAAGGTAGAATTGTGGGGATACTAGAGTGTGGGCATTAGAGATATAATCACCCATGAAAAGAACACAATAATATAAAGAAATTAAGTAACTTCCACACATTTTAGTAGCCCTGAAAGCACCTTACTACTACAGGTTGAGTTCATAATGAGTCTAGAAACAGTCAAGTTAAACAGAGTGTGTATAAGAAAGGAAGCAAATGTGTGTGCCAGCAAATTACCTAAAATTAAAAGATACATCTCTATACCACAGAAACTGCTCTGGAATAGACGCACTCACTCCTTGGTGGTAGCATACAATGCCACCAAATGAATAACAATCCTCTCTATTCAGCCCAATTTAGAGCAACAAAGTTAGAGCTGCCATATTTATAGAGAGGAGGAAGAGAAATGGAAGAAGAAAGCACTACTTCTTTCCAGGAGGCATCTCACACACACGTAGTTTCCTTACCTTAGTCAGAGCTTGTCCTAAAAGATTCTCAAATGCTTTCAGATTAAGATAAGGACCATTATAGTAGGGGTTACTTTGTGCTTTCCTTCCCAGCCAGTACAACGTTATCAAAACCTTTAAAAAAAATTCCATAAACAAGATCAGTGCATTTAGTAACCAATTGTGAGCTCAAACGCAGGTGAGTACTGCAGATAAATGGTAGCACATATCACTCTAAGGCTGGAAGCAGACTGTCTTTAAAAGTTATGGGAAGGAGATGATTTATTAAAAATCTTAATTATTCTTTCTAGATTTTCCTGTCCCTGAGCAAGTTCTTAGATCAAAAGTCCAGATCCCAAAAGGCATTCATAAATTCTACCGATACACATGAAGAAAGAAAAAAATTTATAAGAAAACATAAATAAAACTTTTCAAGCAATCAATATTTTTTCAACAGACTTATAAAATGAACACCTAATATCACTAATTCTGAGTTTTCTTATTAACGATATCAAGCTTTTTAAAAATAAAGTTGTCATATTTTTAGATATTCTTCTAATATATACAGAATATCAAAGACATTATATGAGTCTACATTGAGCAAGTACCCAGAGTCCTTAAATATTCAGTGTTTTTCTTTAAAGTCTGATTTGGTAGTTTCCTACTTGCACCCCTGAAAATCATAAAACATGTTTATTTGCCTTTACCACATTACTAATCAGCTTCCTAAATCTAACCTACCCTCTTATACTATGAGAACGAAGAACATATATTGTTACCATATATTAGAATATTTACATTTAAACATACTTAGAGTTTGTGACTGGTTGGCTTCTAGCAAAAATTTAATTAGAAAAAGGACACAAAGTATGTTTTTAGATCCATTGTCTTTTTACAGAACACGGAAATAAAAACCATGTATAATACTCCATTAAAGTAAATATATCTTACATTTTTCACTCTCCTATCAGTCTCTTCTTGCCTGTAAAGAGAAAAAAATAATCTATTAAGTAATATTAATGAACCTTAAATTATTAATTATAGCTAGAAAAAAATCTTTTATTCTAAAAGTTCTATGAATATTAATATCACATGGAAGTACAGAAACCTTAGAGCATATATTATCCATCAGAAGAATTATTCCATATTCATTGATTTGATGAAAAATAATGGTCAGTTTTCTACAAAAAGCAATATTTTTCCTCATTATTTTATTCATTATGGTCTGATTTTTTAAATGCATTACTTGCATTTTTTTGTATTTTCATTCTAAACAATGTTTAAACCCAACCAGAGACAGAAAAAACATCATGCATGCTCATGACAGAAATATTAGAAAACAAAACGAAAACCTTAAAAAGAAAAAAGAAGAAAAAGCAGCTTTGAACTGAGCTTTCTTCTGCATTGTCTATGGGGTTTTCATCCAAGTTCCCAAGAACAAACTAGCTCACAGGCCATGACCCTCCAGATATTGAAAAGTGCACTTTAAAAAATAGCTATGAATCTCCACCTGAAGAAACTTCATTCTACTACAAGAATCATGGTTTTTTGTGCAACTGTAAAAGAGCCTGATACTTATGGATGAAGTTAAAAGGGAGCAGATGTCACTGCAATTTTGAAGAGGCAACAGCATGTTACTAAACAAAAGCATGGGTCACCCTAAGCAGCGTCAGTGCAAATTCACAGACTGTGGAAGACTGAGCTAGATGGCTTCTGCGGTGACTTTCTTTGTAAGATAAAATATACACACCCACATAAGTTACCTATATATGTGTGTAGAAGACATATATACATGAAACGCAACATATATAAAACACATATTCATATACATAGAGAGAGAAAGAAAAAAGGGGAGAGTATGAGTGCACGGAGACAAATATTTAACTTAGCTTTCAAAGAATCAACAAGGCAATCATGACTATTCCAACAAACATGAACAGAAATGAACCTAAGAATAACATGCACCTCCACCTCCCACCCCACGAAAAGCACCTCAACAATAAAAGTCACAAATTCTCACACTACTGGTAGAAATGTAAATTGGTATAACTACTTAACCTCTTAATCCACTTACATTAATTATGTAATATCCACACAATGAAATATTATATGGCAATGAGAATGAACAACCTACAACTACATTCAGCCATATGGTTCAATCTCATAAACTACATTCAACCACATGGTTCAATCTCAAACAGCAGGAAGAAAGAAACCAGATGCAAAAGAGTACAGATTGTATTATTGTATTCAAATAAAATACAAAAACAGCAAAACAAAGATATACTGTTAGAAGTCAGGATAGTAGCTGTTGTAGTTTGAATGTCCCCCCAAAACTCATATTGAAGCTTGATCCCCACTATAACAGTGTTAAGAGGTTTGGAAATCCAACTATGGTATTTGAAAGGTGGGCCTTTGGGAGGTGATTGGATCTGAGGGATCTGCCATCATGAATGCATTAATCCATTCAGGGACTAATGAGTTAAGAAATAAATGGCTTATCACAGTAATGGCACTAGTGGATTTATAAGGAGAGCAAGTGAGCACATTAGACGCTCTTGCCCTCTCACCATGTGACATCCTGCACCACCTTAAACTCTTCAGAGAGCTCCCACAAAGCAGAAGGCCCTCACCAGATGTAGTCCCTTGATGTTGGACTTCCCAGCCTCCAAAACTTGAAGAAATGAATTCTGTTCCTTTACAAATTACCCCATTTCAGGTATTTTGTTATCAGTGACAGAAAACTGATTAAAACAGTGGTTACTGCTGAGAGGCAGAATGTGGAAGTGATGGGAAGAGGGTGGAGCCTCTAGATTGCTGATCTGGAAGCTACCTAAGTGTGCTCAATTTCTAAAAAGTCTTTGAACTGTTCATTTATAATTCGTATACTTTTCTATATGTATATTATAAACAGAGTTTGGGACGGGTTGGTTTTTAGCAAAAATTTAATCGGAGAAAGGAAACAAAGTATATTTTTAGATATACTGTCTTCTTACAGAACATGGAGGTAAAAACCATATATAATACTCCATTAAATAAGTAGAATAAATTTCACAGCCCAAGTGCTCGAACCATAGCTTAACTCTTTGGTAAAAAGAAAATCATCTTATAAAAGGCAACAGGCCTTTATTTTGGAATTAGTAAGTGTGTAAAGTCACTAGAAACTGACAACAAAAAATAACAGAGTTGTGAATATATAAGCCCTTTTTAGATTGATGACCAACATGCACACCTCAGATATTAAATTAGCCAAAAGAACCATCAATACCCAAAGGATACAGGAGGTGAAAACCACCCCACTATCATAAGCACACTCAGAACAGAAAGAACAGTGGAGCACTCTTGAACCCTTGACCTCCTTCCCACAACCCTCAATAAAGGTTTCTAATCCAACACACTCATTTGCATTTTACTTTTTATCATGATAAAGCAATCACTGGAAATACGAGGTATGGTCTATTACGTGATAAACACAATAAGCAGTGACCTTGGCATTGTTACCTTTCATTCACTTTACATTCCCTTCTAAATATGAGTGTTTATAACAGGTCCTTGAACACAATGATCCATAGGTCAGCCAAATTAGTGTCCTATCACTGCAATGAAATGCTAGGAATTCAAGTAGTCAATGATTTGCTGGAGTAAATAGAGTTCACGCTCTGACACACAAAAAACACATCCCACTGCCTAGAAGTCACTAACCAGATGGCTCCTTTGCCATCATGGCCACAGGGCACAGCCCCAAGGCCTTTCAAATAGAACCAGGGTGAGGTGGAGGGGAAGCTCAGGGTGACACCTTCCCCACGAGCCAGCCAAGTTATTGCACACCCCATCAGAACCAAGAAGAAGGCAGCCCTATCTCCAAAGTTGGATAATTCCTCCACCACCACCACGCCCATAGTTGCCATGATATAATACCATGTTTAAGAGGCGTGGGCTTTGGAGACAGATCTGGGTTCCACTGGTTATGTTCACTTAGGCAACTTACTTGACTCACAAAGCTTCAGTTTCCTTCTGGATAAACGGGGGATAATGTCCTCCATTTCAGTAAACTAGGAGGAAATGTACACATTTACTTAGCAGAGTTCCTAGCCTTATGGTGAAGTGCTCATCAGGAACCAGTCATTACCAGACTGCAGCTATGTGAGGGCAGGGCCCACCCTACTCACCACTCTACCCAGAAAGGCTTCCCAGTGAATTCATGCTGGATCCCAGGATTAAAAATTGCAACCAGCCCACCTGACACTCCCTATCTCTCATTCCTGCTTTATTTCTGTATTTATAACCATCTACTACAGGCATTTATTTTTAATCTTTCTCTCCTCCACCAGAATCCAAAAGGATTTTTGTGGTTTTGTTCACTATGGTATGCCAAGTGCTCTAAGACGGGGTCCGTGACCCGGCAAGCACATAAAAACATGTGTTCAAAAATGCCTAGCACAGTGCCTGAAACACAGATGCTCTCAATTACTGGTTAAACACATTCATTTAAGATACTCTTTCATGTTATGTTTCCCTTGCCCTCTTGCCATGGCAGACTTTGAACAAAGATAAGAAATTATTTCTAGAATAAGGTCAAACAAAGGGCAAGGCAAGCTGGTATGGTATCACTGTCATTGTCTAAACATCCATGCTGGCACCAAGCCAGCCCTCCCCACCCATCCTTGGTTTACCAAGGCCAGCCCTGGCCAAATACCCTTAGATTTTCCAAAAGCTCAAAATCTGAGAAAAAAATATGCCTGCACAGCAAAAATCTATCTCCCTCATATTCAATAGCACAATTTGGGAACAAGGTGCTAACAGATGAGATGATTTTTTACCAGTGTGTACCAGCCAGCTGTGTCCTAGGGCCACAACAAAAATGATTCCAAATACCTCCTGTTTATCCAAGGAGCTAATGTGGGCTCACATGCATGCATACCACAGCCTTTACTCTAGCTTCTCCAGGGGTCTGCAGAGAGCCGGACCCATACCTGGGGCATGGCTGTATCCCCAGAGTCAATCACAGACCTGACTAAGAACAGCCAAGCATTTAAATGTTCATATGTAAGTTACCTAAAGCCACTCACAGAACCAGCACAGCAGACCAAGGGCCAAGAGAGACAGAGGACATTTTCCCCCAAGTAAGAGTAAAGCTTCACACAGTTTGACACAGAATCAATCCCTCTTCTCTTTTTATACTTCTCTCCTGTGTCTTGATACCCATCTTCCTCAAGGTACCAACTTTCTTATTTGCAACACTGAAGGCCCAATCTCCCCATGTTCTGTCCCAATATCATAAGCACCTAAGAGCTGAATTCTGTATGGCTCCAAAATCATCTTTTCTCCCCAAATCCCAGCCCCCATCCTGTCCAAGCCAACCTCGGTTAAAACTGAATACAGTTTTCTGACTGAACCATTACATGAGGAAATGTGTGATTAAAAACTCATGCTACAATTTCTGATAGAGTAGGAATATTTTTGCACCAGGTTACACAGGGGAAGATTTCCTCACATCCTAATAAAAAAAGTGAGGTTTGGCACCACCGGCCACCACCCCAAGCCTCCAGCCCAGGTCTCCCTGGCAAATGAGGAATCTGGAATTCTGCAAAGGACTCAAGCACAGTTAATACCCAACTCGGTCTCCTCCCTGCTACCAGAAAAAGCTTCCTCCTTGATTCCTTTGTTGCCCAGAACAACTGCAGATCCTTGAGTGACTATGTCCCCAGGCCTCTTCTTCCTGAAGCGACTTCCCAGAGCAAGGCCCAGATTCTTCCTGGAGACCCAACCTTTCAAATGCTAGTTCCAGCCCTGCCCAGCCCAACCCTGCCTTGCCCTGGGTGGCAACAGGTGACCTGGGCGTTGCCTCTTGGGAAACTGGGTTGATATTATAGGAGCTGGACTCACAAGGCACTTGGTCCCTTTCCAAGCCACTAAGTACTCTCTGCTCTCCAGTTGTTGCTTATGCAGTTTGGCCACCTGTTTACAACTTTAAAAATAAAA